CTCCTCCTCCTCCTCCTCCTCCTCTTCTTCTTCTTCTTCTCCTTCCCTTTTCTCCTTATCTGATTCCTTTCTGATTTCTTTCTTCTTTTCCTTGCCTCTGTTTCTTTTTGCTTAGCAGTACTATGGAACCCCTCCAGTACCGGATAACAGATCCAACAGGCCCTGTGCATTGGTGACTGAAAGATTCAAATCGAAAACAAATAAGACCTTACACGGTAATAAATAAAGGCCTCCAAGATGTGAATGAAAAACACAACCACCTGGCACCAATGGCTCCCTCCTGTAATCGTAGCTACTCAGGAGGCTGAAATCTGAGGTTCTGGGTTCCATCTGTCTTTCTATCTGTGGTTCCATCGATCTCCCATCTCCCCCAAAGCTCCCAGCTGCCTACAGATCTTTTTATTTTTATTTTTTCAGGAGGTGGGGAGATAGATCCTGGGGCTTAACCTCAGCGTCTGAGTGCTGTTCCTGAGCTTTTGTGCTCAAGGCTAATGCTCTATCACTTGAGCCTCAGCTCCACTTCTGGCTTTTCTTCTTGGTGGTGGTTACTTGGAGATAAAAGTCTCATGGATTTTCCTGCCCTGGCTGGCTTTGAACCATAGTCTTTAGATCTCAGTCTCTTGAGTAGCTGAAATTGCAGGTGTGAGCTACTGGTGCCCAGCTACATGCAAATCTTTTCATGTATCCTGACCAACTGGGAGAAGAAGTCTCTTCCAAGTCAGCTTTACCCCCCTACCACCTAAAAAAAATAAAAAGAAATTTCAGGGAAGAGTTCTGATTGGCTCTCTTTGGAAGACATTGCGGGCCAAGGAGTAGAAAGTTGATCTTTGTTGGTTCCGGGGTCCAGCTCTGAGGCTAAAAGGAGAAGGGTCTGTGTTCTGCAGCCTCTGCCAGGCCCCTGTGGTTAACCAGCCAAGATGAACTTCCTGGAGCAAGGCAGCTGATTTTTTCACTGAAAAGCATTATGGCGATTTCCTCTTTACAAGGAGCTTCTTTTGCATCTGTGAGGTGGAGGTCAGGGGTGGGCAAAAGAGGGAAGAGTGGTAGTGTTGGGTAAGAGAATCTCTTCTTTTGAATCAAGCCACCAGGGCCCTAAGGACAGGGAAAATCTTGGGTTCAGCTTCACAGCTATTGACTTTTTTTTCCTTGATAAATATTATTTTATGTGATCAGAGGCACAGAGGCCTTACACCTTTGGGTTCCTCCCCTGAGAGTATCCTCCTTTGGTCTCCCTTTGTGTGAATGCATAGAGTCCTGTATAATTTATCACGTTCTGGTGTATAGCTATTGGCATTCTGCTCTTTCTGCTTTAAGAAGCATTGCTACACCAGACTCCACAGTGGTGTGGCCTTTACTGTGGTAAACCTTACTTCAGGGTGTTCCTCCCCACTTACTTGTTGCCATTACTCTGTGCCCTCCCTAAGCACAGAGTTTGCTCTCTTTATCTCTGGTACCCATAGTACCCAGCACACGACCACCGCTCTCCCAATGTCATCACCCTCCTGCGACTGCTTTGTGGTGGAGGAAAAAGATCTGCTTGCTTCATTTCCACTATGGAATGAACAACTCTCCCTGTAAAAGTCATATTCAGGGTTGGAGATTTCACTCGAAGGAAGAGCACCTACCTAGCAAGTGCAAGGACCTGAGTTTGGTCCTTAGCAATGAAAAGAAAAAGTGATCTTCATGGGGCAGAGTGTTCACAGCAATGACAAACAAGAACAGGAAGCAGAAAACACCTCCTAGGAAATGTTCTTGGAAGGTAAAAAGCCCAACACATCTACTTTGAAATTCTCAGCATTAATCATGTGTCTGATACACAGAAGCAAGTCCTTCCTCAGTGGCATTCAGACGTGCCTTAGGCGTAGCCATCATCCTGATTTCAGCCTTGTGAGAGAATCTGTGCTGACTAAGCTCCAGAAACCAGCAGGTCATGAAAGAACATGAAGATTGGGGTCAACTTGTTACACAGCAGTAGACACTTAAGCAAATACCACCCTAAACAGAGAAACTGTGTCTGCTATGGATCTCTGCAAGAAGGATTAAGTGGCTGACATGGATAGAGCACTAGCCGAAGTGGTGCACTTGATAAAGTGTGGCACACATTATCCCCTTCCCCTTACTGTGGCCAGCCAGGAAGGTCACTGTCATTTCTGTCACCGACAGGGAAACTGAGGCCCGGAGGAGTCAAGTAGTTTATCCACAGTTACCAGCTTGCCAGCCTGAATCCATATCTACCTAAACTCCAAGCCCTACCTTCTGACCTTCAGGGAAAAAAAGAGGTCAGATCAGTTCCAGCGTCCCTTCCCACGTGCATGGAATAAATAGCCTAAAACAGGTCTGGAAGAGGATGGATATGTTCAGACACATGTATTCATGCATTAAAAAGGATGAGATTTGACAAAGAATGGGAATTACTGTGAATTGCCATTTATAGATTTGAATTGGCCCAAGAAAACATGACTGTTTGTCTTGGTGGAATCATTCTGTAATGGTGGCATGGTGGGTTGGCACGACATGGGCTTTTGGTAATTGAGTGGAGGGCTCACTCTGATACGGGTGTGAGACATGGCTTCTCAACATCAAATGGGCGGCGTCTTTTCTGCTCTTGCATATTTACTGGCTGAAGAGGAGGAGATAGCTTGGGTAAGGCCCAGACTAGCTCTATTTGGTAAATCCTACCAGGCATCAGGCTCCATGGCAGGCCTCCATTGCTTTCCTTGCAGCTGGTTTACTGCTGACTCCATTGTGGAGGACCAAGGGCTGCCTCCTTTTCATGGACTAGAACTACATAGTGTATCTTTCACCAGGTCCTACGATGTAGCCCCAAAGCTTTGTGCATGAGTAACCCTTATGTACTTGCGATCAGCCAGACTCATTGACCACTCTAGGAGGACATACACATGTCCATCTTGTGACCTCCTGAAAGTCACCCAGCTGGGAGTGACTGCAGGTTCCTGCTCCTGGGACAGGAATGAGACTAAACAGTAGACATCACATAGAAAGTGGGTTGGTTGGAGTCAGGATTGAGACCCAGGCTTGGAAAACCTTACAGCTCTGAAGAAGGACAAATCTGCTCAGGTTACAGCTTTATGTTTGCCAGCTCTGCAATCTTGGGTATAACTGCAAGGGCTACCCTTCTCTGAAACTCTGTCTCCTCCTCAGAACAAGGACAAGGTAATCAGACCTGGTGAAGCAAGAGGCAATAGGGTGTGGCCAGATCCTAATGAAGTGGGAGCATAATAAGTGCTCAATAAACATTACTGCTGATAATAACTTGTAAATAATGGTAATCCATTAAGAATGATTTAGGTAGTATCACTTCCCTGTTTTACACCATCTCTGGCTCCCAATCTCACCTAGTATCAAAGCCAACTTCACATCGTGGTTTTCAGGATATGATCTGGTCCTTGTTATCTCTCTAGCTTCCTATTGACATGGCCCTACTGCAGTGGCCTCCTGGACTCTTGACACCCTAGGCTACCTTCCACCCCAGGACCTTGACTTCTGTTCCTCCCTGTGCCTAGTGCACTCTCTTCTTAGCTGCTACTCTCACTACTCTCACATCTCCTGTACTCACTGTGAGACCCCCACTTGCACAAGCATCTGGACCAGTGAGCCCCAGCCATCCTTCCCCCTTGTCCATGTAGGCTCTCGTG